TTGGCCTTGTAAGGTGGTCCACCAATCATGGCTTGGTCCTATCAGCATGCCTGTGTCCAGCAGGCTCCTCTATCTCTGTGCAGCTATCTTCTGATTCTAAAAGTGGTAGAAAGACCCATGGTTTCAAAGTGAGTGGCATTGTCACAAACCAGCTGCATGGCTCTGGATAAACCACTGAACCACATTAGGAATTTGTTTCTTTATCTATGTAATGAAAAAACTGTCCTAAATGATCTTTAAGGTCCTATCTAACCTTAAGATTTTATAATGAATATTGGTGAGGACTGAGAAAACTAATATCTAAGTTTATTAAAATGGTGTCCAAAGAAAGAATAGAGAAACTCTGAGAAAAGGCCTCAGAGGTTCCTGTACTTTGGTGCACAGAACTTAACACCATCTTATTTTTGCTACATTGTGGGCTTTGGGGTCCTACTTCTGGGTAGTCATATTTCCAGTAAGTAAGGCTACTCATTTGATAAATCACATCTAGATAAATGGGGCAGAATTACATTTAGAGCTTTTAAAAAAAGAAAATTAAATATGATTCTAAATATACTTCTAGATAAAAGATAAAAATTCAGGGAAGATTTTTCAAAAATTTATAGAGTGAATTATTCCTTAATGAAAACTTTTGCTTCCAAACACATTTTCATTTGATATACCAACAAAATGACACTGCATACTAAAAAACAATTTACCTATAACTACATCATGTCCATCAACCAAGCCAGCAGAGAAGAGCTCCTGAGATACACCATCTGCTGTATCTGTCCAAATGTGAAATGAATATGTATTAGTAACCATAAAATAAAAATCAACAATCCAGTACAATGTAAAATGTATATTTTTCATTTACTAAAATCACTCACATGAGTTTTAATTTAACAATTCAAATTCTATCAGGAGAAAAAAAAATCAGAAGCAACTTGAAATACATTTTGCTATGTGCAATTTGGATCTTGCTATTTATCCAACAGAAGTTACACAAAATTATTTTTTTCATTTTTGGTGAACTAAAAAACTTTTGCCTTCTGGCAACGATATGAATTAATCCCCAAGTATACCTCTAGAAGTTATAACTGTTCCCTATGACACAGCTTTTCTTTCTTACCAAGGTTAATTCCTGCTATCATCAATCTTTTTCTATCTTTAGTAGTTACTGAGTCAGAATTTATGGCAAAGGTTGAATGGGTAGCATCTGATACAACCTTATATTTTGTATAAACAGCCTATGAGCTTGTTGGACTATTAAGATGAGCTATTAAAATTTATGCTATTAAGAAACTCCTTTAACATGACATTGATCATTTGATAGCAACAGATTCATTCTCTTAGAAAATGTGGTTGAGTAAAATAATGTAGTTTCTCAATGAAAAGTGACAGGAGTTAGCAATCTCACAAAGATGGGGCCGAACAGGCTGTGGCAAGTGAATATAGCTGAAATTGCTTAATTGAAAGGTTATGACTGAACATGATAACACTGTTATCTTCTATTTGAAGACTTTGTAAAGAGAAATTGATAAACTGCAATGTGCTCAAAAGAACCATTATAAACCCCTATGTTTTTACAAGGGAGATGACTTGGTCCCCATGATCTGATATTCTCACAAATAAGAAGGAACTGGCTCAGCAGGCTGTAACAATCTAGATGGAAGTTTGACATAAATGTCTTCCAAAGTCAGGGAGCACCTGAAAGTAGCTGCTAAATCAAACAAGTATCTACACTGTGTTACAGTCTGTCATGCCAAAAGCTTCGCTAAACTTAAACTGGGTTTCCTTACTTCGTCTGTGCTTCAGATATGGTGACTATGTAAGTGAGCTCATATGTGTGTGTGTGTGTGTGTGTGTGTGTGTGTGTGTGTGTGTATGTACATGCACACATGAGCGTCTGCTGAAGGTACATTTGTCTTTCAATGATTCCTGGGCTTTTTAAAGTGCTTAGCCCAGTGTCTGATACATAGTTAGTACTCAGTAAATGGTAACTGTGATGACAATGCCACAGCCAAACACCATTGGAAACACACCTTATGCTCATGTGCACTTTTTCTCCCTTTTATACATGGCCTGATTTCCCAAATCTCCAATAAAAATATGAGACACAATGTATATTCTTGACACTCCCAGTAAAATTGTGGTGTTCTATCATTTTCCTGATTCCATTTCATAATGAAATCATAATGAAATGGAGTAAAATAAAGTAAATGGCAAAGAACTATATGGGAATCTTACTAAGCTATGAAATTCCATATAAGGTGAGCTTGTTTTGGGCCTTGTCTTTTTTGCTAGCAGTACGAAAAATACCTTATAAAGTCTCTTTATGATAAAATGATCCTATAATCGTGGAACCCAAGGTAGCATAATGAAAGGCTCTACTCTGAATATGATTCAGCTTGCTCAAGCTGCTAGTACATTCAGCCTCAGAACCTCCATCTTCCTGGATACCATCGAAATCTTCAGGAAAAGAAGCATAATGAATTTGAGTGCCTAGCACCTAGTAGGCACTTGGCATACGGTAGACAGTCATTGTATTTCCATTGGTTATCTGTTAAAGCATATGAGTGTGTTACCACCATTTCTAAAGTAACAGTAAGATCGTATACATGTGTGTGGAGCTACAATCCTGGAACATAGTTGAGAATGGAATAATCAAGCAAAGCCACATTGAGGGACAGCACTAAAACAGTACCAAAATAACTGACATTCCCAAACGATTAAAGTATACAGCATGTCCCACTATTTTCAGAACTTCTGGACACCAGATGAGTCATATCAAAATGGCCAACAGGTAATGCTGACTGGCCCAAATGGGCAATATTCCATATCTCTGTGTGTGCCATTAGGCAGTCATTTTGTATGCACGTAAGATATCAGGAATAATGAACTTTGAAATAACTGTTATTTCATGTTTCATTTGCAATCTATTTTTCTTTAAGCTTTTTAACATTCCTGATGTCTAAACAGGTTAAATGATCATGTATTAATGTATAGTTTCCAGAGCATACAGCAACGCATTAAACAAAATGGGCCTATCCTCAAATGAAGACAGAGAATATTTCATGCTTTACATTATGTATTTTATAACCCATATATTTATTTGCATGTATATGCAGCACAAACATGTGATGTGCATGCACAGATTTACTGCAAACATTGTTTGAAATACAGACAGCACCAGTAATCACAGAGGTGCAGTGATATACACACGCTGCTTCCGCTAATAGCAGGCCTGTGCTCAGCTGCCGGGTAAAAGCCGGCTGTCATCAGGAAGACAATGCTATGGGTTCTGTCTGGGCAACAAAAGCAGAGACTGTTCATCTAACCATGGCAAATGAGGTTGCCAAAGCCAGTGCAAATGGCCCAGTCAGTAATGCTGATAGGGCCATCTTAACCACAAAAATCCTTAATTTAGAAATTCATTTCTTTGTTACCTCTTAAAATTAAAATTGATTTTCATTGCCATAGTCAATTTTAAAGAATCAGATGAAAAGAAACAACCTTAAAATAAGAATTTGTTCTTTCTACTGACTGTACTTGAAACATTTATCATATAATTATCAGATTTTTATCACAGCACGGCCTGGTCAGTATTTTTATATTGTGACAACATAGACAGCTTTTTGCTAACAC